GAGTGCTGAAAAGGTGACCAATGTTTGAGCATTGCTCCTTTTATACATATAGCACAGAACTTAGCATATCTCTTTAATGACACTGATTAGAAATGCAAACCTCCATGATAAGATCTATCTAAATGTCCTTAAAGGAAAGATTTGGAAAATTCTCAAAATGTGTAGGTTCTAACCTTCACTAAGGCTGTGACCTAAGAAAAAAGGGGCATCACCTAGTGGGAATGAGTGAGTGGAAGGGAATGTTTCCTGACTAATGTTTGAAAAGCAATGTCTCCAAGTTGGTTTAATCAACAGCACAGGACGTGCAAAGGAATGGCAATGGGAATGCAGAAACATTTGCCTCTTGGTCACTGGCTCTGTCCTGGCCCCATATTAGGAGCAAAGGTTCTTTCATGGGATGAGGTCTGGAGTTTTCCACATCTTTGGCACCATTTTAATTTGATCCCAGGTCCTCAGAGAGAGCTGAAGTCACAGGACTGGGAAATAGGATGTCAGGCACCCATGGGTTGGATCAGCTGGCTGACTCAGGCAGTGGATTATGGAGCCTTTCACATCTGGGACACTGATTCCAGCTCATACATTTCCATAGGGACAGTCTTATTTTCACATTCAGTGGTCTCCATCTAGTTCTAGGTTGGACAGACAAATGTGGGGAAGGATGAGATGTTCAGACTTGTTTTAGGATTGATCCTAAGGGAGCAAGAAGTGATGGCCCTTGATATGTGTGAGAGCAAATGGTAAACTGTTTTTGAGAATGACAGAATGAGGGGGTTGGTGGACTACAGAGACCATTGATGGAGTGGAAGAAGCAGGGAGATGACCAACTCTCCCTTGAGAGGGGAGAAGGTGACGGTGATGTAGACCTCAGGGTGGAGTTCTTGGATGGCTCCCATGTGCAAGGGGATTATCTGGGCTGGGAACATGTTGCATCCCAGTGCTCTGGATGCATGATGAAGTCCCACTGCTTAGCCCTAACACTGCAGCCGTCATGTTCCTGACATGAAACCATCCATTAGACTTGGGCATCCCAGACTATGTGCCCATATGCCAGGAGAGTTGCCTCACCTGAAATCACAAGGACAATTGCATTAGATTAGAAAGCAGCCTTTATTTTGTATTTATCATACTGGGTATCAGGCTCCTGACCCTGTGGGGACAAATATCAAATGGTGGGAATGACATTGTCCTAGCAAAACAGCCCAAACAAAGGGGTCCGGTACTTGGCAGGCCTCTCTTCATGATGTTGTGCAAAAATAAACTGTTTCTAGATGCTATTAGATCAGGTTTGGCATGGAGCTGCAGGGTTGGTGAAATAAAGCACCATATTCAGATGTGGCCTGTTGCCTGGATTCTGTGATATGGGACATTTGGTATTAGAGCTGCTAATGAGGTGAATTTACTTTCCATTCCCAATTCCATATGTTTCAGCAAAAAGCAAAGCAGATCCCAGGACTGAAGGAAGAAAATTTGGTTTGAGAAATCTGCAACTAGAGAGAACCTTAGGCACTGCTCTGCTACTGGAAGCAGAACAAATCAATCACATCTTATTATACCTCTTGCTATTCCAGTCTTAAATCTTCAAAGAGCTCTGCAGATGCTTCTCAGTCTTGACATGCTATTTCAAAATGTAGCTTTTCTAAACCAAGTTGACTGACTGATCATAATAGGTTGTATTGCAATTGTTATAACAAGGAACAATAGTCTCAAGTTGCAGCAAGGGAAGTTTAGGTTAGATATTAGGAAAAATTCTCACAAGGAGGGTAGTAAAACACTGGAACAAGCTACCCAGAGAGGTTGTATAATCTCCATCCTTGGAGATTTTTAAGACCCAGCTACACAAAACCTTGGCTGGGGTGATGTAATTGGGAATAGTCCTGCTTTGAGCAGGGGTTTGAACTAGATGACCTCCTGTGGCCCTTTCCAGCCCTCATTTCCTGTGATTCTGTGATTCTGTAACAGTAGTGATGAGAGAGCCTCACTCACAGCAGCTTGAGGTAGGGACAGGATTTGAAGGCAGGGGCTTTGCAGTCAGAGGACAGCACCATAACTCTCTGCTTCTGCTACTGAGGCCTTGTGCTCCATGATCTCCGTCCACCAAGAAGTCCTGATCACCAGGGAACCTGGTTTTCCCTGATAAAAAATGGCAAATACTCTAATTAAAAACCCAAAATCCACAATTAAAATAAAAGGCCACTACATATCTATATCTATATATATGTGTGTGTATGTATGTATCTTAAAAAACCAAAATCCACGATTAAAATGAAAGGCCATTATATCTATCTATCTATCTATCTATCTATCTGTATGTATGTATGTATCAGTTGAACACAATGTTTTTTTTTATATATATTTACAATTTTAAACAATTTGGAAGCCTACTAGTGCCTCAATCGTTATAATAAAAAAATTCTAAATACCTATACATTTGATTTTGGGTTTTTTATCATGGAAAATCAGAGCTCCCCTTGCCTACTTAACTCAGAGAATGCAGGTCCAGGCCCCTCATTCCCAACCTGCAGCCCCCTAGCCTTGCTGGTGCCCATCATGCCCTCCCACAACACCCAGCTCTGCTGATACCCCTCACTCCCCACCCACAGCCCCCTGCTCCCCCAGCCCATTCTGCCAGAGGGAGACCCCAGCTGCCAGGGCTACAGGGCCAGGGATCCAGGTGCACAGCTGCTTTCCCCCTACAGCAGCACCCGAACTTTGGCTGCTGCCTGCATGAGACAGCAGCTGCTGCAGCAGAGCAGAGCACAGAGCCTGGCTCCCCCCACATCTGCTGCCTGCAAGCCTACTGCAGGCTTGGGCAGGGGGTGGGGCTGGCTCCCTGCCACTGCACGCACTCTCGGGAGGCGGGGGGACCCATACTCCCCAGATCTGTGCATGGGGTGGGGGTAGGCATGGGCTGCCTGCTGTGGGCTCAGTTGGGCTCCCTGCCCTGCTGCCTTTCCCCCAGGCTTCTGCAGAGCAGGGCCATGCGGGGAAGCTGCTTGATGCTGTGAGCTCACGTTGCCCTGGTGAGGCATCCCCTTCCTGCGTGGCAGCAGCAGGGGCTGTAGCATGGGGTTTTGCCCCCTGCTGCTGCCCCCTGTGCAGGCAGGGGATGCCTTGCCAGGGCAGCATGGAGCTTGCAGTGGCAAGGAGCTTTGGGTTAGACCTGCTGGGCTGTGGAGCCCCAGGGGAGGGCAGCAGGGCAGGGAGCCCGAGCCTGCATTGGGCAGCCCACACCCACCTCTGCCCCGCACACAAATCTGGGGGCATGCGTTTCCCCTGCCCCGCCAGGAGTGAGCGCAGCGGTGGGAAGCCGGCCATCTGGCTTCCTCCCCTCCCCCCGTGGCCCCATCCCACTCGCCAGTGGGTCCCTGTGGCTACACATTTTGGCCCCATACCCCAAGCCCCACACAGTCCCTGGCTGTGCAGCAACCCCAGCCCTGCCCAAGTCCCTCCCTATGGGGGTCACAACCCCCCCCCCACTTACCTTCAGGAGCTGTTCTCCAGCATGCCTGGCGGCCATGTGCATATACATACACATAGTGCTCCCTACTTGACTGCCCTCCTCCCACCCCTCCACAGTGCCTTGCAGGCTGGAACTCTGCCAGCCTGCAGAGAGCTCTTTGAAAAAGTGCAAAATCCATGGGTTTCTCCATCAAAATGTAAAAAATCCATGCTTTCCTCAGGTAAAGGAGAAAATCAGCATTTTTCTCCGTTTTCCCATGGGAAATGGAAAACCTGGATCCCTGCTGATCACTAAAACTTCTGAGGAACATACATGATGAAGTTAATGGCTTGACAAAAAAACCCTATTAAAAACATTTACAACCAAGGGAACTGGCCTGACCTGGTAAGTTCAGGAACCAAACATGAAGCCTTTTGCATCTTGTTCTCTCCCATTGCCATCTGGCCACAAGTTGGGAATTAGCTGGATCAGGGGCTTATGATTTAACCCAGAAAATCACTTGTAGGCCTGCAGGTCTCATCTGATCCCTGGGTACTCACTGGTTGTTTGGTGGCCATAGGTGGTATGAGTTGGGAGAGGGCGTGCCTCAGATGCTGTTATGATGGCAGCCTGTTGTCACCAAGTGGACCCTTTTTTCTGATTAGAGAAGCCAAAGAGTCTATCCCTATGACTCCATGCATTGATCTGACTATTTGATATGCATGGTCTTATATACACCTGGCAATGGATATCTTGATTAGCAGACCTTAAACCTGACAAGGCCACAGTATAGTATATGCATGCAGAACACAGACCTGCCTTGTCCCCGGTTGCCAACTCTGGTCTTGTATCCTAGCAGTTTCCTGAGGCTCTCTCCATGCTTGTCTCTCATCCTGGTCTAGGTGGTTGAGATGTGCCATGGTCAATACTGATTCTTCATCCAGATGCTTGAAGCAGCTGTGCTCTATTCTGCCATGCATCTCCATCTGCCTCTGCTTAAAAGAACATGTGCTCTTTCAGTGTTCCTTCCTACTGGCTTCTTGTTGCTGGAAGGCTAAACATTTCAAAAGTCCAGTTCCCAAGATCATGTCTTCCTTTTCCAAACATAACTGAATAATAGTCACATACTTATAACCAGCCTACCAGCTTAACTGATCAATATTACTGACCTGAGCCCTGAGGTAGCTGTCACTACCACTTGGACTTGCATGTCTGCCTTGCATTATCAGTGCTGTCAGGTGGCAGTAAGTCCATTTTTCTATTGGTGCTGTATCGTAGAGCTCAGCATGTGGTCTAAAATTAATCAAATTAAATTCAGCAAGGACAAATACCAAATCCTACATTTGGGATAAAAAAGCTTCACACATAAACAGAGACTGGGGAATGACTGGCTAGACTGCATAACACAGAAATGAATCTAGGGGTTACAGCGGAACAAAAGCTGAATATGAGCCAGCAGTGTTGCAGAAAAGCAGAAAAGTCAGGACTATTAAAAGGGCTATATTAAAAGGAGTTGCTTG